TTGCATACTCTGACAGCAAAAGACTGGCGCCGGCAATCCAGTCGAGACTTTGGAATCAGTAGTTTGAAACGGTGTCCCCTTAGGTGTACATTGTTCGATAACATGAGAAGCGATCGACACGGATGGTTTGGGTTCTTCAGTATTTGATACGTCAAAATCAAGTCTCCTCGAGTTCGGCGATACTGAGCGGAATATAGTCCCAATGATCGCAATCTGTCCTCGTATGACAGGACATTGCACTTTAGGTAGTTTGCTTGAGCTAAACAATTTCTGGATGGTCCTAGTATTTCCATTCCAAGAGCTCATTAGTACACCTGATTTATCATTTGGCTCGGTGAACAAAAGAGGGTGCCTGTCATTGTTTCCGGGATTTTTGTAATGTTTTTGAAAAACGGGTTTTCGCATATAAAAATAAACTCCGTTATATCATCTGAATGGAAACAATGTTTGTTCGCATCAGGAATAATTAAAGAAGGAGTGTTTTATTCGGTCATTTCGACCGATGGAATCACGTTTTCTTTGCCTTGTTGTCACCACAGTGACTGGGCTCTTTGTAAGATAAGTGCAACGTAGAAATCGACCACTATACAATTATTCATGGTCTTCCAGTTGTCTATTGACGCACCCAGTTCCCCAAATTAGACTCGTACAAATGACCATTCAGTCCTGTATTTTTGTTTTTCGGTCCTTTAAGAACACTGGATAGTGAGTAAATAAATGAATCAGCGAGGGAATAGTTGGGCTTGTGCAGCTGAATAAACTGCTCGTATGAGAGGAAGTGAATTCAACTAGAAAACAGAAAGCGTGAATTATAGAACAATTCAGTCTACGTTTCCACCAGGTTCTTTATTGTACTTGCTCTTTATAAGATCTTATTATCAAAACCAAATTCTATGCTGGTACACGTATGCAGCTTCTATCAGCGCAGTATTCGTAGTAGTAATGGTATTAGTATTAGTCGAATTTGTAGTAGTAGTAGTAGTAGTAGTAATAGTAGTAGTAGTAGTAGTAGTAGTAGTAGTAGTAGTATTACAAATGCAATACGTGTTGGGCCACTCTACATGGTACGCAATTCTTGAAGTTCGGTATCTGCTGTGACCTGCGTATCGGTCCTTTGGACAAACTGACTTTGACTGGTTAATAAGGAAAACTCCTTGATTATGCTGACCGTTTACCGGTGGAATGACGAATACTTATTATCATCCCTTGTCAAGAACAAACCAAATCATTCATTGATTTTTGATCAACCCAGTTTCGAGAACACTGAGTTTTATGTGATTCGTCTTCACTTCAGGTGTACAAATGCTGCACGTATCACCCGATTCCTGTTGACACCCGCCTGCCATTCTATACTGTGGCACAGATTGATTGACATTCAGTAAACGCATAGGTTTCAGAACAAGAAAATATATCAGACTCAACAGGTTGTTGTCATATGAAACGAAATACTTCAGGAAAACTAACTTCATTCAAATGATGGACATACTGAGTGACGCTAGGAAATATGCTCACCTTTGGTATTCCTGTGTTCGTCTGTGGGTGTGCGCGTGTGTGTGTGTATGGGCTCGATCAGATGTTTGTGCATGTGCGTGTGTATGTGTGTATGTCTGCACTTGTGCTGTTATCAATGACCAACAAACCTATAAGAACTGTCCCCCACTGAGTCACTTCAAAAGTGTTGTTCGCATTCTCCACGCTACCGGAACGTTTTCGTAATTATCTTGTCTCTCGCGCGAGCGTTGTTCAAACAACATGCAAATTGTTGTTCACTTTCTCACCCGACCAACATTCCGAATGACCGTGTCCCCGGACGAATCGATCAAGAGTGTGAAGAACAAAATTCAGAATCATATGAACGTGTTCCCCAACGTAATGACCCTGTGTCACATAGATCGGAATTTGGACGAACAGCTCACCCTGGCTCAGTATCGGATCCCGGATGGGGCGCATATCCGGTGCAAATGTAGCATGTGATGCTGATCAACAACAATTCGTGACAGCTGCAATGACTAGCTGAGTATCACTTCATAATCGGTGGGATTAAATGCCTCATTCTGATCTGAAGTTTTCGATCCAGCCTGTCGAGCATTTTCGCTTTCAATCCTCTATCATTCAATATTTTGTTTTTCAATTGGAGTGTGTCTTATCAGAACCCCCGGGACTCATCAAACATATGATATACATCATTATTTTTTGTAACGGTATAATTGAATACAACATGAATTGAATGTTCTGTTTCGTTTCCTGTTCTTATTATCAACCGCAGCTGATGCCATACGGATTAATTTGTGATCTCAGGTATGACTATGGATATCTGTTCGCCAGTTTTTAAGTAGCATCATGAAATCAACGAATTACTTCATAGAAATGACCAAAAAACGAAGAACCTAGGGTAGTTACTTGCTTTGCCATCCATCCTGTAACCAGGGGTAACCACGGGAAACTTTTAAGGCCATCAGAGTCGGTCTCATTATTATTAGCAATCACGATTGGATAATCTGTGTTCAAGATTTCAGATTTCAGGTGCACGTTGTCGTGCGTGGTAAAAGCGTAAGCTTCATAGTAGATCAGAATGCGGTTAAGTTGATCGATCAGGCATTCAACGATCTAATAGTTCGGACAGTTCAGTACTAGCATCTGATTAGTTAGAGTGAATCGATATTATAATAGAGCAAATGCAGATGATGTGCGTGCGTGCGTGCGTCTTGGGAGACATCATTGGTTAATCAGCCAATCAGGCCATAGTCATGCATAGTAAAGGCTTCAGTCAAAAGCACGCCACAGCACCACCACCACCGCTTCCACAAATATGTAAGAATGAATGTTTTGTTAACAATAGATATTCATGAAATAAAGAGTAGCACACAGCAGCCGACAAGCTCGTTTGCGGGGATTCATTTATATTACATTACATCATTTACGTTACAATTTATATCAAACTATTTAATATGGAGAAAAGTGGGAAAAGAAATAACCAACATTCTAGTTGCTTGGCCGGATTTTGCTCACACCTCGGTCATCACAAGTACGCATTGGTTCCGGTCGCTAGGGTTGGTTGGGTGTGAGGATGACCGTATCGTGTGCTGTGTTAGTCATCGAACGACGAGTGTTGTAAGGAATTGTTTTATCCAGCATAATGGGGGGTTGACCTCGGTGGATTCCGATCGCATTCTCTGCGGTCAGAATGCAACTCCTGATCCCCTTAGATCGAAGAATTCGAAACCTCGTAGCCACATGTATATCATGTATGTTCTGTAAAAAAGAATACTTTCGAAGTTACAACAATTTCTTCCCGGATGGGAACAGTAGACCAGTGCATATGGCGCAGGTATCGAATTGATCCTCAATTCCTACATGCAATACCGAAATGTACTACGATGGTGTGATCAGTTTATTTTTGGGATGAGCGAGGTTTGATAGGCCGAAATTTGAATAACGAGGTATGAGTCAGTCTGGTATTTACTCATGAACAATCGGAAAATGTATTAGTTCCTTTTCCATGTATTTTCTATTTTCAAAGATCTCTTAATTCTGGACCTAGTTCTGACCTTTCGTGCCTGATAAGTCCTTCCCTTCCCACGAACATAGAATTGAATTTGTAGCCCAACAATTTGAAGTAGGACAGCTGTAAATGTTTTGCATTTTCTCCGGTTTGCGTATCTCAACTGACGGATGAACCACATTCACCTCTCTCCGGATTTGCACTTCAAGCTTCGAATGATCCGGGGGCATTTCTGTCCCTAAATGAGATTCTGTGCTGCACGACAAACAGTACAACAAGATTATTGGCATCACTAATTAGTAGGATGTAATATCTGTCCCTTTGCTGTTAGAATCAGTACCACACGTGATAAAATCAACTCTTCTTTTTTAGAAGGATGCCACACACCTACACACACACACACACACACACACACACACACAAATTCACATTCATTCTTGAATCATTTTTTACTTCGTTTAATGTGTCGAATATGCACTTTGAAATGCGTCTAATTGAAAAGTTAGTATTTTAAAAGGCTAGAAGACAGAAAAAGTGTTCTGAATTTTAAGAAAGATACAACTCTATTTGATCACAACAAAGTATGCCGTAATAAATATTTCAGATTGCCTGATTTCATTTGGGAAGTTGACTGGTTCCTCACAGAAGCCAGGAGTTGGTGTTTTTGGGCGATTAGGAGGCATTTTCGGTTTCTCTATGGAATGTTGTGTAACTCCAAACGTTCCTTGTATTCTGCCAGTGAGTTGACTTGTAGTCCAACGCTTTGGATAAGGGAAAACTGGCCGGAAGAGGTTCCAGTATCTTCCAAACTGTTGGACACATACATGTCAGGAAAAATATTGTGGCAGACCTGTTCTAATCAGGTTGCCATCCATGCTGTAGTTGATTGTCCTGCATAGTCTGAAACCTGATGACTAACGTGTCGTGTGTGTGTGTTCGTGTTGGTGTTCGTGTTCCCTTCGGAGCGGTACTCAGATGTGTTGATTTTATCAATTCAGTTGAGTAAACCACATTCTAATGATTATAGCAAACGCTGGATGATCCAGGGTTCCTGGGGTGAGTCAAAGGTCTCGGTTCTTTACACATATGTCCAGTAAACTGACGGGGTAATGGTAAAACATGGGTTCACAAATGCCAAAGGTTTATTTTAAATGTAGAGCTAGTCCCATGGAGCATATTTCAAACAGAACAACAGAGTGGCGAACAAGCACTGAAGGTCATAAGGAACCTGGTTCGTGGCCTAGCAGATAGGGCAAAAAATATTTGCAGTGGGGACACGCTAGAACAAGAGCTCCGTACAATAAAATCTATCTTTGCACGTAACGGGTATCCGGAGCGTCTAGTCAGTAAGATGATTCAGTGCACGGAAAACTCTTTACAAACACCGAGGTTAGAAAAACATCCGTGTAAATGTCATTGCCGTTCACGGGGGACACCTCAGTTGAGACCATACAAAGGAGATTATCCGACGCAATCGATAAGACCTTCTATGCATCCAAGCTTCGCGTGTTGTTCACATCTAAACTAATTGTGTGTTTACGACTGATAAGAACGGCGGGGCCTTCAAATTTCGGCCGTGCTACATTTTGTGCTCCAGTGGATAATTTATTATTTTGCGTCATACATTGGATTTATTGTTTGAATCAAGTTTTGTTTCATCCCTTTCATGATTACTGACCCAGAGGAATCTTTAAAGAATTTGAAACATTATGTGTTATCACGTAAGAGTGGCATTCTATATCAGTTCAGTCATCAAGTTAAAAATAGATACAAAAGATGCAGAGTGTCTAGGTCACGTTTCCTCAGAAAACACCGAGCAGGCTGGCAAGTAGCTTCGCGTAACATAAAACCTCAGAAAATGTCTATCCCTGCTATTTGCTCATCAAATATATGATCACTATTTGGAAAAATGATCGACTTTACGAAACTGATAGGGACGAAAAAATACCATGCATTGGGGATAATTATGCTGCAAGAAACGTGGTTGCATCCTGAAATCAGCGACTCTTTGGTTGAGCTGGATTTCTTTGATGTGGATCGGTTGGATAGAGACTGTTTACTACGAAATCGAGGCGGTGGTCTAATAACCTACACCAAATCGTCTTGGTGTTAGTCTACAAAGCTTATCTTCACTTACAAAGTAGGATATATCTCATATCTTTCGGTTGAATGTGAACCCCGTTTCCTTAGTAAATGTCATTCAATCGTGGCATCAAACATGTACACAGCACCTTCCAGTACAACTTCTGATGTACAGACGTTTGCTGATTTATTTATGTCCGAACTTTCTAACTACACGGAACGTTCTCTTTTTACTGTAAGTGGTGATTTTAACCATGCAGATATTCATTTCTTGACTTCTCTTTCTCCACAATCTTTTAAATTTCTCCACAAGAGGAAACACGCAGTAGGACGTTATGTTTATGTTCTGACCTGTTTGCCGTGCGAAGAGGAGCTCCTCTGGAAAACTCCGATTATTGTATCATAAATGTTATCCCAAAAGTCTACTCAAAGAAACATCATAACGCACTGACACGTACGTCTAGGTGTAAGATTTTTCTTAGGCTGCGCGACCCGGCATCACAGAGAAATGGTGGTTGGTTCAAATTTTGATCAGTTCTTTGATCCAAGTGTCTCGATCGAGTGTGAACACCTCACGAGCTATTTGACCTTCTGTTTTGGCACCTGCTGCCCCATGGCCCCTGTGTACATCAGTCCCGCCAGATTTTCTTCTCCCACTTTGAAGACCCTCAGAAGAACCAAGGAATGGGCATATAAAATCGTGATCGACCTTTAGTTACCCAAACGTCAGTGCTAATCAAGAATGAGGTCCAAAATCTTGACAAACTCTATGCTGAAGCCCTTCTTGGTGACCGTAATTGCAAGCAAATTTGGAGCGCTACGAAAAAACTCTGGAACAAAAGTCAGACTATGCAGGCCTCAACCCACAGCAGATGAACTCAACTGCATGTCTTCCACGTCAACTGAAAGTGAAGTATCGCTTCCTTATTTCCAATCAGTTGACTATCATGAAGTCTCGCATGTCAATTCTAATCAGGCGCGGGCACACCTGAATTGCCTGCTAGAGACCTGTGCGCATCACACCAGTCCCCCAAAAGGAAGCTGGCAAACTTCAACCAATCGCCTGCATTTCTATTTGACTAAACATTTTCGAAAATTTTATGCTCAGAAACATTATTCTCAACACTGGGCAGCTAGATGACAACCAATTCGCTTATCGCAAACAACGTTCTACCTTGGATTTTCTTGCGCATTTGATAAACTTAGTTTTGCGATCCCTAGACATGCACGGCAGGGCATTTCGTGTGTTTCCTAGACTATAGTAATGCTTTTAATTGTGTTGACAGGAGCAGGCTTTTGTCTCTCCTTCAAGGTGCTGGATTGTCCCATAATACCCTCTCTCCACTTCAAGATTATTTTTCTGGTAGAACACACTTCACGAAGTTTCGTG